TGAAGTAAGTATGTATGGAAGGATGTATACATGAAGTAAGTATGTATGGAAGGATGTATACATGAAGTAAGTATGTATGGAAGGATGTATACATGAAGTAAGTATGTATGGAAGGATGTATACATGAAGTAAGTATGTATGGAAGGATGTAAACAGTAATCTCATGTATGAAAGCATATTAGTATACAAACACATTATATATATACAGTATGTGCACAAGCCCGTACTGTGCACACTTACACACTTACACACTTACACATGCGGGCACTTAAGAGGTAGTTATTATGTACTTACACACTCACACTTGTTCGTCCTCACATATAACCTACATATATCCATAAACATAGAAACGTACATATACAAATACATACATACATACACAGACACTATCTTACATAAATACATACACTCAAGTACAGATCCGACAGACAGACAGACAGACAGATGCAGACAGACAGACAGACAGACAGACAGACAGACAGACACTCATATGTTCCTGACACCTGACACGAGTTACGTAAATATCCATTCTTAATTAATTCCTAAACCAATTTCATTACATAATTTTCAGGTGATGTCAACACTCATCTGCGTTACCATAGCAACTGTATCTCACTAAAAACAAATTACAATAAAAAGCTAAAAATAACAAATAAACTTTAACTAATTATATACAAATTACAATAACTGATCCATAATTATCTGCGGTGATTATTATTTTGTTTAGATATTTTTTCATTTCATATAATTAATTAGATTTGTTATTTAATTTGCTACGACACCAACTTGTTATTTCTGTCTGTCTAAATCTAAGAATTGACTCGAATTTGCTTTACGGATGGAAGGTTAGCTGCGTATGAGGATGGGAAGTTAGCTGCGTATGGGGATGGAAAGTTAGCTGTGTATGAATATGTCAAGTTAGCTTTGGGTAATGACGTGAACTTGGCTGTGTATGAAGACATGAGTATGATATGACTCGACTGACTAAGGTGTGTGTGTGTGTGTGAGGAGGAGGAGGAACGGGAGGAACAGGAGGAACGGGATGAACAGGAGGAACAGGTGGAACGGGAGGAACAGGAGGAGAAACAGGAGAAGGGATTATACCTACCATGATTATTCTCTATGTTATTATTTACTTTTATTTTCCGTCTCTAACACACACTTTCAACTCTTTCCATATTATACAATGTTATTCGTCAGTTGTCTCTCTCTATCTCACTTATAGAATGACGTCAGGTAGGGAGACGATATCCTCACTTCTCATTCTCTTCTGCAGTTTCATTTCTCTTCAGGGTTACGTGTTGTTTTGTAAGCGCTCACAACAACGCCTCGTTCTCCCAAACACCATATACTCTTAAGACTCTCAGTCAGTCCTTCACTTGTCATCCGTACTAAAGCTCTAACACATCTCTATAACTCCCTCACCTCCCAGCAACCTCACCTCTCAGCTACCTCACCTCCCAGCAACCTCACCTCCCAGCTACCTCACTTCTCAGCAACCTCACCTCCCAGCTACCTCACCTCCCAGCTACCTCACCTCCCAGCAACCTCACCTCCCAGCAACCTCACCTCCCAGCAACCTCACCTCCCAGCAACCTCACCTCCCAGCAACCTCACCTCCCAGCAACCTCACCTCCCAGCTACCTCACCTCCCAGCTACCTCACCTCCCAGCAACCTCACCTCCCACCAACTTCACCTCCTACCATACCTAAAGAAGATATTCCCGTATCCACTCCCTACGTGCCCTTCAGTAGATCTCATGGTATTATTACAATCCCTCCCGACTGTCAACTGGTCACGAGAAGACATCAACATAAGCATCTTTTCATCTTCTTTGTCCTCGTCTTCAAACACACTCTTGGGCAACTAAATCCATCACTTAATTTTCGTCTATCATCTATTGTCTTCTCTTCATTTTATGTTTACGGAATAACATCGACAATAATTGGGTTCGATTCTCCTGTCAAATTGATGTGTGCGGTATACTCGGTATTAAGTGGAACCAGGATGTAAATCGAGTCGTGACCCGTGTTCCGGAGATAATGGTTAGTCAGTACGGCGAGTGAATTGTCTGGTTTTCCTGGATTCTCTCTTGACAGTTAGGTGTATGGATCTTTGAGGTGGCACTATGTAGGTGGCATAGGTGGCACTATATAGGCGGCAGGTGGCAGTATGTAAACAGTAGGAGGCAATATGTAGGTAGCAGAGATGGCACTATATAGGCGGCAGATGGCACTATATAGGCGGCAAATGGCACTATATAGGCAGCAGATGGCACTATATAGGCAGCAGATGGCACTATATAGGCAACAGATGACACTATCTAAGCGGCAAATGGCACTATGGTGTAGGCGGCAACTTCTGTGCTTTATAATATTCAGATGACCTTAGGACCAGTCAACCTTGGTCGTAAAGTGTAAAAATTACCACTACGCCCTTTACCAAAACCTTTTTCTGCCAACAAACATTGATTCAACCACTGTGTTCTGGTCTGTTCTTCCTGTCTCGTGTAATATTGCCTCGGACGCCCTCGTGGTTTTAAAGCTCTACACACACACACACACACACACACACACACACACACACACACACACAAAACGTTCTTACAGGTATGTACTTATAATTCCTTGCGTACGATAACTTAAAACCCCTTGAGTACGATGATCCTAACCCTTTGAGTATGATAGATGTAAGGTCCTAGTACTCAAGGGGTTACTGGATAGCCTAGACTGTGAAACCTAACCTACCCAAACCTTTACGGGCTAAATAAACGTCTAATTCAAGTATTGATGAACATACTCACCAAAACACTGGGGGGAAAACCACAAGGCTAAGTTGAGTTGTGTCTGTGGACGGAGGGATGAGGGATGGACGGTGGAAGGATGATGGACGGGTGATGGGGGGATAATGGATGGATGATGGGCGGAAGATGGATGGGTGATGGATGGATGATGGATGGGTGATGGACGAGTGATGGAGGGATAATAGACGGATGACGGATTGAAGATAGATGACTCACGGACGGACGACTAACGGATGACACTCGTACACCGAACGGATGACGGACGTACGACTAACGGATGACAGACGGATGCTAATTGAAGAACTACAGACTACATGCTCAATTTCTCTACCCATCAAGATTACAACTGAACCAACAAAAAAAAAAAAAATGAAATTACTAAAGAAAACCTAAGGCGCATAAAATTGTCTAGGGAAATTGGCTTTAGTTCCCCAAACCCCTTATACTGTAAAACCAATTTATAATCCAGTAAAGGTAATTGTTACAAAGCATTTTAAACTGTTTTGGGGTAAAAACTTTAAATCTCCAACGTTCCTCGGAAAAAAAAACATATTTAAAACACCAAACTTCCAGGGGAAATCTGTTTAAATATCCAAACTTCCTCGAAAAAGCTGTTCAAATCTCTAAATTTCCTCGAAAAAACTGAATAAATGTCTAAACTTCCTGGGAAAAGCTGTTTAAATGCCCAAACTTGATCGGAAAAGCGATTTAAGATGCAAACACATCTGTTAACACCTCCACGCTCAAAGTAGGTCTTCCCTCCAAAGATTTAATTCCCGAGAGACAGACGAACTTGAGAGAGATACGCTGTCCTCGTCTCAGTCTAAATTCACCTTCAAGTGGGTTGATTTCACAGGTGGATGGGCATCTTACTCACAGTGTCAACTATCCTAATTGCCTTCCCCGAGACGAAGGTAAACTCTGGCTGTAAATCCCAAGTCTGTGTCCTCAACCACCTCTCTACTCCCTCCTTCCTTAACCTTCCCTACTTCCTTTCTCAACCTTCACTCCCTCCTTCCTTAACCCCCCTTTTCTCCCCTCTATCTTCCCACTCTTCCCTTTCTCCTTGCTTCCTTCCCCAATCTTCCCTAACTATATCCCTCCTTCCCAAAACTTTCCTTCCTCCTCACCTTCCTTACCCTCATCCCTGTATCCCTCCCAACCTTGTCTCCTTCTCTCTCTCCCTCCCTCCCATGCTTTCTGTTACCGCGTCTATTATGAATGTTATTTATCACCCCTCTTCCTGTGGCTATTCTTATTTCTTTCTGTGTTTTCTTACGTCTTTATTTGTGTATCTCTATTACCCTGCTTCTGTTTCTCTGTCTAGTAACACATCATTCTGTTTCTGTTTATCTGTAAAATCTCGTAGGATGGGCGCGGTGGATGAGGGGACGCAACATTCGCCTCCTGCTTTAACGGTGGTTGGTTCGATCCGGACACCCCCAAGCCCCAAGTGAAGGCGATCGAGTGCATTCTCGGCCACACTGCCTCCTCGTGTATCGAAGGCTTAGCAACCACTTTCACTGAGATACTATGGGTGATGGTGAAGGTACGAGAGAGGACAGACGGAGCAAACATATCGTAACTAACAAACTCACTGGATGATACAGTGGCCCACGTATATATGCATCACTAACACGCAATGTTTAGTTCGTCTCTACCTATATTATGTGTTCTTTGTGATGCAACAGGTGGCAGTATGTGTCTGTAACAGTAGTAAGAAGGAAAACAAGGAAATATGTAAATATGTCATCTGGCGAATTCTTCTCATGGTTTAGTGACATACAGACGGAAATACAACCCCACATAACCGGGGTCTTGCGATTGATAAGATAAACGGAGGATTAATGCCACTGTGTTCATAGCTAGGGATGGAGGGAGGAATATTGTTCACATGTTCAATACTCCCGGCCACTCACCTCATCCAGGTATTCATAGGTATTCACAGGTGTGGGGATACCTAGCGCACACCTGTTGCGTCTCTCCACCACTTACTTTTCCATCTGTGTTTCTGAGTCACACTCACTCTGCCACTCTCGTTGACACTTAACAATCTTATGATATGGTACTTCCTGTTAATTCTCACCACACACGAAACAAAATTTAACGTAAATACTTTTCATCATCTATTTCCATAATTTCAAGTAAAGTTACACCACACTTCCGAACACTTAATTCCTCTTCATCTCATATCACCTGTTAGTTGGTTACATGGCACGTTGCCCTATAACTAGAGGTAGAGGAGAGCGTTGCGTCAACCTGTGGCGTCCGACTGTATCTCTTCCCCTCGGCGACGCACCTCTTACTGAACATACCGGCTATCACCCCGGGAGGATGGTGGTGCAGTTGTCAACGTTCGCCACCTGTCACAACCTGGTCCTATTTTTTCCATACCATTAATAGGTATGAGAAGTGTGTGGTGTTGGTCAGTTAGAGTGAATTTAGGGATTTCTCAACCTGTGGTCAGGAGGAGTGTTGATGACTGCAGCGGTCGACACTCAGGCCCCTATCTTGTGTTTAGGGAACGCCACCTGTTGGTTTAGGTGTGTGTGTGTGTGTGTGTGTGTGTGTGTGTGTGTGTGTGTGTGTGTGTACCATATTTACTAAACATAAAATACACCCAAACATATAATCATCCTTTAAATACAAAAACTATATACTGTACTCCGTATATAAACCAACACATTATAGCATATATATTTTTTCTAACCTTATCTTACCAAAATATTTATACATATATATGACTTTCCCATATGCAGTAAGTACCCACACTCTGTAACGCAATAGTCACTGCATGTCAGAAGATGAGGGAGGGAGGGAGGGAGGGGGGAGAGGAGGGAGGGCGGGGAGAGAAAGTACCCGCCCCTCCTTCCCCACCCCATTTCTCTCCCTTGTAGAGTAATGGCCACACACTTATGAACTAAAAAACACCATATCTATAGGTTAAAATTGTTTCTTTCTTAATAAAAGCTAAACATTGGACTAAGAATTATACATATATAAATTATTAGATGATACAAAACGATAAAATAAATCACCAGTGTATTAAAAAATAACAACTTTATGTATATTATCTATGTATGTATACTGTATAGTCAATGTATATGTATATAACAAAACGCCCATCAAAAATCTCCAACGCGGGTCATATTAAAGCGACGTTGTGATGGAATTCCCAGATTATACAAACATGGGAAAACAAACTTGTCGACATGGAGATAAAAACACAAGCACTCACCTGTTTGTCTCCTGCCTGGGTAAAACACAACTATTATGTATGTATGTGTGTGTGTGAGAGAGAGAGAGAGAGAGAGAGAGAGAGAGAGAGAGAGAGAGAGAGACACACACACACATATACAACCCACAGGAGGTAGAAAATACGAATTAAAAATAGATAAAAAAAAATCAAATCATAACAAACAAACGCAAAGACAGATTAAAAAAAAATAACATGAGACAGAATAAAAATCCAAGAAGACCAACTATTAGACAGAGAGAGACAGGAAACACTATTCACCATACGAGACAAAAGGAAATAATGCGATTTTAGACAGACGGAAAAAAAAAGCAATGAAATATGATCAAAAACAGAAGGACATGGATAGAACGAATTGAAAAAAGTGACAAAATGGAGAAATGTTTAGTTTTAGTGACAGAGGTGAGTGGGGGAGGAAGTGGCTGTGGGTGGGAGGGGGGGGAGGAGTGGCAGGGCAGGTGGGATGAGGGAAAGTAGTAGTAGTTGGTGAGAGGTGAGAGGTGAGGAGGAGGAGGATGGGGGACTTACCGTGAAGCCTATCCCGACAGTAGCCGAGAAGGTGCCCGGCTGGAACTTCCCCGTGTCGAACTGAACCAGGAGAGATGTCTTGCCTACTCCGGAGTCCCCAGCAGGATCGTCTGTAGGAAGAACAACACAGGACTTCAATAAACTGGTCTGATGGAACACGACACATCAATAAACTGGTCTGATGGAACACGACGCATCAATAAACTGGTCTGATGGAACACGACACATCAATAAACTGATCTGATGGAACACGACACATCAATAAACTGATCTGATGGAACACGACACATCAATAAACTGATCTGATGGAACACGACACATCAATAAACTGGTCAGATGTAATGAAGATAAAGACTCCACGAAGAAATAGTAATAAAGGTGAACTGTTTAAAAAGAGAAAGAACAGAGAGATTATTGACTTGTCTTAGTAACAGAGGAACATTTAAACACCTTCACTATCAGCTCCTGTAGAAGGGAATTAAACAAAATTCCCTGGATACCCAAATGAAGACGCAGTGAGATACAACTGAGAAATGAGACAGAGAAAAACTTGATTCAAATAATATCGGGAAAATGATTGAGATTACGGGACCTATTAAAAAAAGAGAAGCAAGAAGATGCGTTAATAAAAGGATGTATAGAGAAATAAGAATAGGATGGAGACAGAGGGTTATAACACATGGGTAGTTTGATTAGAGTAAATGATGGTAATTGAACAATGGTAACGATCCCCCTTGGCGTCACGGATTGGTGGGATATGACAGATGTTTAATTACACGATGGTAGTATGTGAAGAGCCTTTGATAACTTTACCCCTAATTGATAGACAATAGCCAATATGACGTTACTCGTTCCCAAAACTATCTCTGTGGTAGGGTTCGATGAATTTCAGAATGAACGCTGTGACGCCTGTTGTCTCGGTAGGGTTGTCAAAAATCTTCATCCGTTGTGTCATTTTGTCTCACATAAAAACATAAAGATATTTTGTGGAGCGAGTTACGTGGGTTCATTAACTCTACACACAGATAATCAGAATATATTTTTATAGCCAATGAGAAAAAAAGTCAATCCCCTTCAATATAATGTTGTTTTTGTGTTTCTGTCATTTATATCTTTTATCAAATCCTCCAACAGTTGAGGTTTTGTCCATTTTTTTTTTCCCCGGGAACTTGTTTTATCTGACCCAGAGTGATAGTGTGAGCCAGGGGAACACATCAGGTTAGGAGGCCAGGTAGGGGGTGCTCCAGGGGTCAAGCCAACCCAAGGCTTAACAGTGCTAGGACGTATTCCACACCATATACACAAATTGTACTTGAACCTTAAATATCAGGCATCAATCACACTATATTTACTAATTAACGAAAAATATACTGAATTTATTTCGCATCCGCTAACATAAACCTCAATGTTGCAATTATTAATGTATCAAAAGGTTCACGTATGACTGCGCAAGATACAACACTACTGACTGCACTGTCTTCCCTAAACTATGTGATAAGTAAACATTGCTTTAATGAAACACTGAAGTATGACCTATTATACTTTGAACATCTCAGGTGAGATAGATTTATTTAGGTTTGGTCATATTTCCTTTAAGCCAAAGAGAGAAAAACGATATTCAAAATTCATAGAAATTTGTATAAACTTTCACATGACTTCCGTTTTCTTTTCTGTTTTTTATGTTATAAATTTTAAAGTATATCCTCAATAGCTATACACGTAGGGTAAAATCTTATTCTTATGACACAGCAAAAAGAATTGACCTAATATAGTTTTCCGTATAATGAAGTATCAGTGTGGACTATATGTCATATTTTCTACTCATGTTTCTCGTCTTCAACACTGGCATTCCTCGACGTTCACAAGTTCTCAACAGCGATACGATTATATCAAAGGATTTTAGAACTTTCATACACAAATTTAGCTGCAGGGAAGTTGCTGCTATATATTCTTCACTCAGACTTCCAACATTGACAAGTTCGCTGGTTGACATGACTGCCTGTGTGTTCGTCGCATCTTTAAAACATAAGACCTTGACGTCAAATTCTTCTGACGTAGGAGGTAGAGTATTTTTCGTTTTGGAAATTTCAGTTAAAGAATTTTCTGGTTTTTACATTTTTTTTTCGTTACCGGAGTTTCTAGACAATTTATGAAACTATAAATTTTTTACCCAGTTGGTTATGTTTTTTTTTATGATATTACTTACTAGGGTTCACTGTTACCTCATACTGGGGGGAAAATAATATCCACAAGCACATAATACAAAATCTAATGTTGGAATTTGACTTATATAAATTATAAGTTATATTTGCACTATTATAACCCCCATTATATATACTGCTTCTCTTATGACACTTGCACCAGTGTTATATTATATGTCACGTATATCTGTTAGGGTAAAGTCGAACACATGATTTATCCCCGAATATCAAGGGGCGCTGATAACAAAAAAAGAAAAAGATGTGATAATATTGAGTTAATCTCCAGCAAAAGTTCTGACCATGATACGTTAAAGCTCATCCCGTTAACACAAGTTTTGGCTATGATAGGTTAAAGTTCATCCTGTCAACACAAGTTCTGCCAACATCTGACGTGTGTTTTAACCCACAGTCACTCAGTCATCATGGTGGTCCTCTGAACTGTTAATCAATAACCAGTCAAGCATTATGCACTCATACTTTATGTGATCATGCAATACCAAGGCATCACTCTTACTGGTAGTACAGTCTCGATGAATTGTGAATCTACGACGGGTATAAAAAAAGGGAAACGGAATGTGTTTGTTTATCGGATGTCAATGAAGGCTTCAGCAACATTAATTCAGAAAAGAAAGTTAGGTTCATTTACAGTGAGAGAGAGAGAGAGAGAGAGAGAGAGAGAGAGAGAGAGAGAGAAGCGACTGAGAAAACCTTAGGATCCTTCAACATATCATGAATGCAGGGAAGGAATTAATTAAAGGACATCCGAGATTATTAATATACGTGACTGAGACCCGAGTGAGGAAGACGAGTAAAAACTGAAGATAATATGTCCCACAGTGAGTATCCAACAGGCGAATGAATCTCAGGTATCATAGTAAGCCCTGAAGAAAAACGGGAAGAAGTGAAAATCAATAGAAAACGCATCCAATGAATATCAAACAAGTGACCTGGGACCAATTCTTCTTCAATAGGGTCTTCCAGTGATATATCTCTAGCCATGGATACTGAAAACTATTTATATTTTTTGCTGTTGGTGAGGAAGTAAGGTTATATAAAATGTATACCAATAAGGATGACCAGTATAAGCGACACACATCACGCCTTTCTGGATGAACCCGGCCGAAGAAAAGAAGTCCACCTCTCGCAGTATAGAGAGGTGTGACTCGAATGCAATGATGGATGGTCAGTTCTAAAAGCTCTTAAGAGAAATTTGGTAAGAATGGAGAATATGTATCAGAGGTCAACATGAGGGAAGGAATTATGTTGTGGGGAAGAGGCGGTGTGTGTGTGTGTGTGTGTGTGTG